TCACTGCTTCTAGCAGATCTTGCCTGGCTGCTTCTTCAGTCTCTCCCCACTGCCAACTCTTCCCCTCCCTGAGCAGCTGGTTCAAGGCGTGTGCTCGGCGGCTGAAATTCGGCACGAACTTCCTGTAATAGTTCAGGAAGCCAAGGAGCGCCCGTAGCCCAGATTTATCCTTCGGTGCAGCCAAATCCTCCAGCACCTTGACTTTAGCTTCCTGTATCGCCAGTCGGCCCCCCCTCACCTCAAACCCCAGGTACGCCACTGTGCGGCGGGCTATCTTGCACTTGTCCGGGTGGCACGTAAGTCCTGCAGCTGCTATCGCCTCCAACGTCTGCTTCAAGTCCTGCACGTGCTGTTCGTCGCTTTCACTAAAGATGAGCACGTCGTCAATGTAGCAGGCTGCTGCTGGAATTCCCTTCAGTACCTGATCCATAGCCCGTTGAAACACGGCTGGAGCATTGCGCACCCCAAACGGCATCACGTTGTATTCGTACAGCCCGTCCACTCCGTGGAAAGCTGTTTTCCGCTTGTCCCCCTCTTTGATAGCGATTTGGTTGAACCCCTGCCTTAAGTCCAGCGTGGAGAAGATCGTTGCTCCTTCTAGTTTATCGAAAATCTCATCCGCTGTCGGCATGGGATATCGGTCCGGTTGGGTGATCTTGTTCAGGTCCCTAAAATCCCCGCACATCCGCTTCGCTAACACTTTCCCCGTGATGTCTTTTCTAGTGGCTACTACTGTGGCCGCAGCATAACTCGACTCCGACGGGCGTATTATCCCTGCTGCCAGCAGCTCTTCGCATTTTTCCTTGCAGATAGCCGCATCTTCAGCATTCATCCGCCTCCTGCGCTGATAAGTGGGCAGCTCTGTGGTTAAGTTTAACTCCAGCTCTCCCCCTTTGTACCTTCCTAGCTCCTGTAAGTTGTATGCGAAAGTGCCTCTGTGCTGCTGCAGTACCTGCCTGATAGCTTCCGCTGCCTCCTTCTTTATATTGGCTCCTATCTCCCATCCCTTGCCTGCTTCCGTGTCCTTGACTCTTGCCTGCGCCTCTGCATGTGTCCCTTTTGTAGCCACCTTCTCTATTGCTGCGTATGCTGCTTGTTTATAGCACTGACCTCCTCCTCTCTCCTGTTTCCTTCCCTGCTGCCCTGGACCCTTCCTCATTTCAGTCACCAGCCATCTCAGCGAATGCTGATCGATAGCCCTGCCCAAGGCTGCTCGACGAGCCTCTTCCCCCACTCCCTCCGCTGCAGTGGCTCCCGGAAAGTACCCCATGGCCAACTCGCGTTCCAAGGCGGTCGGCTCTTCCCACTTCCTTTTCCGGTAATCGTACACCATCCCTGGGCCGGGATTTCCGTCTTGCTCAATAAAGCCTCGAGCTTTCGCGTAAGCCACTAACGTCGGCCAAGCTCTTCTCGCTTCCCCTACCCAGTTGCACTGGTACTGTAGGGGGTGATCCGGTTTGACCACTGGAGCAGCTACCCTCCCTGGCTCGAGGATATCTTCCACAATCCTAGTCCCGTCTCTCTCTATTCCGGCCAACCGAGCCCGCAACTCCCCCTCCGGCAGGCAATTCTGCCAGAAGCGCCTAACCCGATGGGTTAGTGCCCCCAGCTGCGCCCCGTCACACCTAAACCCCCTTCCCAATTCCGCTTCCACCAGCTCGCGTACTGCTCGGACCGGTTCCCTGGCGTCACCACTCATGTCCACGTGTTCTAAAATGTAAGCGTACTCTCCTCCTGCCTCCTTTATCCATCTCATGATTTCCAGTAGCGTTGTCACTAGCCCCGTGCGTTCATCTTGCAATCCCTTTCCCTTCCCGGCCCTCGAGGTGCCCTGACACTCCCAGCCAGCTACTAGCAGATCCACCTTGCCCCACTCCCTTACGTCCTCCTTGGTAATCTGCTTCACATCCCATTTCTTGCTCTGCATAGCCTCCTTCACCACAGCCTTCCCCAGCTGAGCGGGGTATCGTTGCTGTAGTACCCGTGCGTGGTTCCAGGCCATCCTCCGAACTTCAGGATTTACCTCCACATAGATCCACTTCTTCACCCTCAGGCCAGCCTCTAGCGCTGCCGCTAAACCGGCTCCCAGCCCCCCGAACAGCTCCACCAGGGTAACACCATCTTGGTCTAAGCTTTCCCCCGCCCGAATATCCCTGATCTTCCCAACGCTTTTACTTCCTCCTTGCCCCATGCTTCCCGCTCTCCAAGCTTTCTTGGGTTCAGTCTTGATGAAACGCACTGGCAATTCACTCAGCTCCTTCCCCTCCTCCCAGAAATCCGAGCGGTATAGCACATGTTCCTGCCAGGTGCATATAGTGGTCCCTATCTTGTATAGCAGCTCCATTCCTAGTAATATATCGTAATCGTCTGACTCTGTCAGTCCGCACTGCACCCTTATCGTTGTTTCTCCCTCCCCTCCCGGCTGCAGCGTGATCTCGATTAGATCCTTCGTACAGGGCATCCACTTAGGAGCCCCTCCTTCAGCAGTCATGATCAGTCTCCCCCGCCTTACGGTTTCCCATCCTCCTTGCGCCTTTAACTGCTCGGTCAGCTTCCTTCCCAGTAACACACTCTGCGCGCCAGTATCCACCACGGCATTTTCTACTAGTATCCCTCGTACCGCTACGGCCTTCGGATCCACCACCAGAGCCGTAGGCTGGCAGACCAGTCGCTCTTCTGGGTGCCGCCGCGCTGTCGATGACTTGCTAGTCCCCTCGGCCGCTTTAGTAGTCCTCCTCCCCGGCTGCTTCTGCTCTGTTCGGCCGTCTTTCCCTCCACTCCTCAACCCCAAACTTTCTCGGTCTCTAGGTGATATGGCCATAGCTCCATACTCCGCTTCTTCCTCCTCGTATTCTTCCTCTTCCTCATCTTCCCAAGCTAGTAACGCTTTCTCTGGGTCTTCGCTAATCTCCGCCTTGCCCATCTGAGCTTTCAGCTTTGCTATCTCTCGCTCCAGCTGCTGCTCTCTAGCGGACTTTTCTCCTGCCTTCTCCTTCTTGCTGTAGCACCTCTCTTCCGTATGACCCCTTTTCTTACAGAAGGTGCAGCTCGGCGCCTTGGGACAATTCCGCCTGAAATGCCCCTTCTCCCTGCAGATGTCGCATATAATGTCAATGGCGCAGTCCTTTCGCAGATGCCCTGGTTCCCCACACTTGTGACACCGTCGCTTGTCTTCAAAAGGTTTTTCCCTTCGTTCTTCTTCCACCCTCTTTCCTTCCACCGCAGCCCACGCCGGCCTCCTGCGTTCGCCTGATCTTCCTGCGCTCGCCCCGCGCAGCCTATCAAAGAACCTTCTTCCCTCCTCTACCTCCCTCGCCACTTGATACACTTGTCGCAACTTCGCCTTCATCCCCAGCGCGTATAGTCGACTCCGCATGTTTTGCATCAGGTCCTCCTCCAATCCGCCCACAAACTTCGACACTAGGGTCCGTTCTTCCAGGCAGCCCATGTCTTCTGCCAGCTCCAGCAGCCGATTGTAGTAGGCTAGCAGAGATTCCCCCCTTGCTCTCTTAAAGTCATGAAACTCTGTCATCCGATCTGCCGAATGCCCCGGGAATTGTTCTCGCAGGCTTTCCAGGAATCTGTCGGTGATTTCCGCCGCTGCGAAGTCCCCTCGTTTACTCTGCAGCAACAACCCCTGTCTCTCCACCCGGTAATGTGTCAGCGCTTCTCCCTTGAGGGTTCTCCCCAATCCTCTGAAAAATTCAATGGGATCTAACCCCTCTCTCTCCCAACAGTATCGGATGTCATCTACCATCATAAGGTAATTCTTCAGCGTGGGCTCCTTCCCAGGCGCCCCTGAGAATCGATCCGGCACCTCAATCTTAGGTGGTGCCGCACCCATCATTCTGCCTGATCCCCAGCTCGCCGTTCCCCTCTCACCGATCCCCACAGGCGGATCTCCTCTTCCAGCCCCCATGGATTCGTATCTTCCAGCGGAGAACCCGTGTACCGCCTCTCCCTCTCGCTGACTCTGCTGATCTTCTTGATGGTCTCCCCTTCTCGGCTCTGGAGTTCCGCGTTGAGATCCCCCAACTCCAACTGCCCCGGGTCCCATCTCTGGCGCTGGCGAATTACAGTTCGAGCTCAGTGGCGGCTCTCCCCGTCTGTCGCCTTCTTTTCCTTGATCTGCGCTGCTAGTACCACTCGCGGTCGTAGTTCCTTCTCCTGCTCGAAACCCAGGTGTCTTAATCGGCAAATCTTGTCCCTCCATCCTCCGCGCAGGAAATCTATGCCCTGAACGCAGTTGATGAGTATGCAGCTCTTGATCAAGGCCGCTCATCCCCTACGGTGCATCACCGCAGGCCCTCCAGGCGTTGTGCCTATTTTGCTGAGATTTCAGCACTACACTCTTTTTGCTTGTATGAACAAGTCTTAACTCCCTCGCAAGGGCTCAGTCAGATTGCTCCTGCTTCTCCCTACTGCTAGCTTCCTTTGGCTTAGGAAAACAAGATTACAGTAAGAAGAGAAACATACAAGCAAAAAGCGAGAAACCAGAGTGCTACCCCGGCTACATTCCCTCCTCCTCCTGCCTAGGAGCCTTCCTTCCCTCGCTAGCTCTAGTGCCAAACGCGAGTCAGCTGAGCTGCTCGCGATGGTTCCAAGGTGCTAGCTGGGCCCCACTGGCCCACTAGGCATGCACTGCCTTCCAGCTGGAATCGAGTTCCTAGCCTGGAATCGCATTCCCAGCTGGAATTGCATTCCCAACCTGAAATCGAATTCCCAGCTGTAATCGAATTCCCCAGCTGGAATCGAATTCCTCCTTCCACACCAACCTCCCTGTAGTCCCCTGCACTCGGCTCTATAGCGTATATACAGTACATCCCACGCACACAAAAAGAAATTAGAGTACATAACCAGAAATGCACCATTACCTGGCTGCTGTGTAATTCACACCTTAGCCACCGGCTAGGTGTTAATAACGCGACATCCCGCTCATGCACCACTGTGCTTGCACAGACCGTGTGGCAAATGGTGCTGATCCAACCAAGCCAGCCAGCCTACAGCCGATCCCTAGCAACGATCTGAGAAAGCACCTGCTCAAGGTCCCTTAGACGAATCGGCTTGGCTAGAAACCCATCCATGCCTGCATTTGCACACTTGTCCCTCTCGTGCTTCATGGTGCTGGCAGTGACCGCATAGATGGTGGACCGTTGCACCACACTGTGTACAGTCACCGCATTGCTGTGCCCCTTCCTCCTCTCTTCCTCCCCTGGCTCATTAGTGCGCTCGTGATGGGTCCTCTCATCCTCCTCTCGCTGCTCCTTTCCCTGCTCATCTTGCCGCTCTGCTGGTAAGCCACTACGAGCGTTCTGAGCGTCTGTTAGGCTGTGCTTTTCATGGGGTTGGGCTGGTTGGGAGGCCACACGCTGAGCTACATTGGAGCCTGGCATGGGGGCGATGTGAGCGCTGGACTGAAGCTCCCGGATGCGCGTGGTAGCTTCAAAGCCGTCCATCACTGGCATGTGGCAGTCCTGTAACGAGCAGAGGTGGAGAGGGATGGGGTGGGATGAAGCTACAGAGAGACCATGCATGGGCATACCATGAAGATGACGTGGCAGTTGGTGGACTGACCATGAAGATGACGTGGCAGTTGGTGGACTGACCATGAAGATGACGTGGCAGTTGGTGGACTGACCATGAAGATGACGTGGCAGTTGGTGGACTGACCATGAAGATGACGTGGCAGTTGGTGGACTGACCATGAAGATGACGTGGCAGTTGGTGGACTGACCATGAAGATGACGTGGCAGTTGGTGGACTGACCATGAAGATGACGTGGCAGTTGGTGGACTGACCATGAAGATGACGTGGCAGTTGGTGGACTGACCATGAAGATGACGTGGCAGTTGGTGGACTGACCATGAAGATGACGTGGCAGTTGGTGGACTGACCATGAAGATGACGTGGCAGTTGGTGGACTGACCATGAAGATGACGTGGCAGTTGGTGGACTGACCATGAAGATGACGTGGCAGTTGGTGGAGAGGCAGGCCTCCACGGCCTTGTGCCCATTCTCTGCCACGTCACACGACACTCGCAGGTTCCTCAGCAGCTGCACCACCACCATGCGATTCACCGCGTTGTCCTCCACCACCAGGCACCGCAGCCCCGCGAACGGCCCTCCCTCTCCACCCTTGCTGCCGCTGCCACCACCGCCACCACCATCCCTGCTGCCGCTGCCACCACTGCCAGCACCGCTACCACCGCCACCACCACCAGTACCAGTAGCAGCAGCAGGAGCAGCACCCCTGCTCCCGCTGCCGCTGCCGCCGCCGCCAGTGGTGTCACTGTCAGCAGTCTTGCTGTTGTAGTGATTGGGAGGCAAGGGCCTGTCCAGGGACATGCCTGCTCGCCTGCGAAGCAAGGTCCTCCTTCCATGCTGTACCCCCTCCTCTTTCTGCTGCCCTTCGCCATTGCCCTGCCCCTCCGCTGCTCTCCTACTCTCATCCAACTCTTGCTCTTCTGATTCCCTCATGCTTCCCTCCTCTTCCTCCTCGCTTTCCTCACCCTCTTCCTTTTCCTCTTCCTCTTCTTCCTCCTCCTCCATTGCCTCCTCTCCACCTTGGTTTCCACAAGAGTCTCTCTTTCGCTTCCGCTGCTGCCCCTCCGAGCTATCCTGCTCATGCTTCTCATCATCATCTGCCAAACTTCCTGCTTCCACAACAGTGCCGCCTGGCAAAACCTGCTGATGCTGCTGTTGCTGCTGCTGCTCCTGCTGCTGCTGCCCATGCCGCTGCTGCTGTTTCCTCTGCTGCTGCTGCAGTCCCTGCTGCTGTTGCCCCTGCTGCGGCTGCCCCTGCTGCTGCAGCAGGTGTGAATGGGCCCCTTCCCTCCCTGCAAACCTCGCCTTTGTCCCCTCAATCCCCTCTCCTCGCCTATCCACCACAAAACCCGACCCTCCCACTCCCATCCTCTCAGCACGTCCTCCAGTTACCCCGTGCATCTCACGCGCCAAACTACTCGCCACGCCTTGGTTACAAATCCCCAACCGCTCCAAACCGCTCAGCACACCCTCCTCCCGATTCTGCTGCTGAAAATCCCGTGCCAGGCGGGGAGCAGACGCGGGCTCGAAGGGCAGGTGGAGGGAGAAGGTGGAACCGTGGCGGGGGGAGGAGGCGACGGAGATGCATCCCCCCATGAGCGCCGCGAGCGAGCGACAGATGGAGAGACCCAGGCCCGTGCCGCCGTGCTTGCGGCACGACGAGTCGTCCACCTGCCGGAACGGCGAGAAGAGGGAGAAGAGGCGCGTCATGGCGACTGCAGGAAGAAGAAGAAAAAAAACAAAAAGCAAAAAACAAAAAGCAAAAAGCAAAAAAAAAAAAAAAAACAAAAAAAAAAAACAAAAAAAACAAAAAGCAAAAAACAAAAAGCACGACGAGTCGTCCACCTGCCAGAAGGGCGAGAAGAGGCGCGTCATGGCGTCGGCTGAGAGGCCCATGCCGGTGTCCTTCACGTCTACTCTCACCCACACCCGCACCCGCCCCTTCGCCCCCTCCTCTTCTCCACCGGATCTCCTGCTGTTCTTCTCGCCGCCAACGTCCCTCCTCGCTTCCATGTTGCTTTCTCCCGCCCGCTCAACCCGGCCCGCTTTCGTTCCTTCTTTTGGTTTAGCTAAATTGACCAGGGTAGGGGTGTGGGGGTGGAAAGAGGGGACGGAGGCAGCAGCATCGGCTGCGGCAGCAGCATCAGCAAAGCCGGCAACAGCAGCAAGTGCCGCGTCATCTAAACACCTCATACCGTCCCCTGCATCTGCTGCAGCAGGTACAGCTTCTGAACTGGAATGCTCCAGTGCCGCTGCTGCCATGCCTGAGCTGTCTGCTACATCCATGCCCTGACCTCCTGTCACCACATCGGCTGGTGCTGCACCTGCTGCATCCATGCCCTGGCTTAAGCATAGGTTTGGGCTCTGACCTGCAGTCACCGCATCGCCAGGTGGTGCATCTGCTACCTCCATAGCCTCCCCTGCTCCCGCTACAGCCGGTACCGAAGCACCTGCCACTGCCATGCCTCCCGCACCCGCAGCAGCTACAGCCGTTGCTACAGCCGGTGCCACAGCTGGCGAGTCAGAGACTCTGGAGGGGAAGGAGGAGAGCGAGGCGGCAGCAGCAAGGCCTGCCTGAGCAGCAGCAAGAGAGGCAGTGGCGGGAGTGAGCACCCACGGCTCGTTCATTATGCGGTCCAGATCGTCCCTCAGCTTCTGCTTTGCTAACTCCTCCTCCTCCATGCTGTCAACACTCTCTGTCTCCCTCACCCTCTGCTTCGCCCATTCCTCTTCCATACAGTCCTCCCCTTCCCCTCCGCTTCCCCCACCCCCTTCTCCCATTCCTCCCACTCCTCCTCCTTCTCCCCCTCCTGCAGTTGCTGCTACTGCCGCCCCTGCTCTTGCTGCTGCTGCCGCTGATGATTCTGCGCGGTCACTGTAATGCATACCTCCCTGCCTTATATGATCCTCCTCTCTCTCCTGATCTCCAGCACCCTCAGCTCCTTCCCTCCCCCTTTCCACCTGTCCACCTGCACTCCTCCATGCCTCTCCTGCTACCCTCCCCTCATCAACACTTGGCGAAGCCACTACGTGACAAACTTCCCCACCAGCTTCAGACTCGAAAGGGTTAGGGGAGAGGGCTATGGAGAGGAGGACGTGGCCTTGGTCGGTGAACTTGATGGCGTTGGAGAGCAGATTGAGCAGAATCTGCCTCACCCGCAGCTGATCCCCCTCCACCCACTCCGGCACGCCCCCGCCCACCCGGCTCTGCAACTGCGTAATGTAGTGAGCCAAAAAAAAAAAAAAAAGATAAGAAACAAGTATAGATTTTAACATGTGCATGCATATGACCACGGATTTTGCACCAACGACGTGAAGAAAAGAGACAAAAATATTAAACGAAAAGTTCCCTATTTTCTCACCTTAAGCTTCTTGCTTTCGGCGGCGATCCTCACGGCCTCCACGGCCTCGTTCACGGTGTGATGGAGATTAAACGGGGAGTGATCTAGAACCAGGGATTTCGTCTCAATCCTCGATATGTCAAGCACGTCCGAAATAATATGGATGAGTGCATTGCCGGAAGAAGAAATGACATCGACGTAGGAGCGCTGCTGCGGGGTGAGGGGCGTGCGGAGGAGCAGCTCGGCGACGCCGATGACGCCATTCATGGGGGTGCGCAGCTCATGGCTCATGTTCGCCAGGAACCGGTTCTTCGCCTCGTTGCCCGCCTCTGCTGCTTCTTTGGCCGCCTTCAGCTCCTCCTCCTTGCGCTTCATCTCCGTTATGTCGTGCCACACCGATACGTAGTACGAGATCCCGTTCACCGTCACGACCTGGAATATATGGAGACGAAACAGCAGCAAAGCGGGCTTAGATAAATAATGTAATAAATAAATTAATGAAAAAAAAAACAAACAAACAAACAAACAAACAACGCGCAAGTGAAACCCTATGTCCGGAAGCCCAAACTCTTGCCTTGCTCTCACCTTGCCTTTGACTAGAACCGTGCACGGGGTGCCATCCAACGAAAACATGTCCCACTCAAACGGCGGCAAGCCGGCCTCTCACCGCACCTCACCCAAGCGTTTGCCTTCGTGTCACCTTGCCTCACAGAACCGTACACGGGGTGCCGTCTAGGGAGAACATGTCCCACTCAAACGGCAGCACCTCTCCCTCTCACCGCACCTCACCCAAGCGTTTGCCTTCCCCTCACCTTGCCCTTGACAAGAACCGTGCAGGGGGTACCATCCAACGAGAACATGTCCCACTCAAAGGGCGGCAGGCCGCCCTCTTTCAGAATCTCGTCCAGAATCTCGAGGAAATACTCCAAACTGCGCCGCCCATTGGGCTGGAACTCGGGGGACTGCTTGACGATGCTGAGGTTGGCGAGTGCGGCTGCTTTGGAGGGGAAACCGATGATCTGCACCGTGGCATCGTTGCAATCACGGAGGGTGAAGTCAGGGATTGTGAAGACCTGGATGGGGTCCTGTGTTGGTGGGGCCGGGAGAGAAGGGGAAGGATGAGGGACAGAGAGCATAGCCAGTGCAATGGCTTTGGAGGGGTACCCGATGATCTGGACTGTTGCGTTGCGTCGTTGCAGTCCCGGAGGGTGAAGTCAGGAGGCCGATGACCTGCACTGTGGCAAGCTTTTGAGTCGACTCAAAAGCGATGATCTGGACTGTTGCGTCGTTGCAACCACGGAGAGTGAAGTCGGGGATAGTGAACACCTGGATGGGGTCCTGTGCAGTTGTGTGGGGGGTCGGAGAAGAGGGGAACGGAGGACGGGGGACGCGCGACGGAGGGAACAGAGTGGGAGGCATAAACAGGAGGGGTAACCGATGATCTGGGCCGTGGCGTCGTTGCAATCACGGAGGGTGAAGTCGGGGATAGTGAATACCTGGATGGGGCCCTGTGTGGGGAGGGGGTGGGGAAGGGAAGGATGAGGGGCGGAGGGGTGACATTTGAAGGGGTACACGATGACCTTTGAACAGTGGCGTCATTGCAATCACGGAGAGTGAAGTCCCGGAGGGTGAAGTTGGGGATTGCGCAGACTTGAACGGGTTTCTGCGAGGTGGGTGGAGGGACGGGGATAGGTTGGGGAGAGACGAAGAGAAGACAGCGATAGGCATGGACGGAGTTGGTTAAGAGCTGCTGGCGGCACTCACGATAGAGAGGTCAAAGATGGCTCGGAACTTGGCGTTCTCGTGGCCCAGGAGCAGTAAGTGGTGCAGGCAGAGAGTGGGAGACAGCTGAACCGAAGTTGTAGGTAGGGTTATGCGGTGAATATGAGGTGAACTCACGATAGAGAGGTCAAAGATGGCTCGGAACTTGGCGTTCTCGTGGCCCAGGAGCAAGGCCTCCTTCACTTGCTCTATCAGCCACTCCGCCTCCTTCCACATACACACCCGCCCCTCCCCACCACCGCCATCACCACCACCACCAGCAGCAGCAGCAGCAGCCATTGCCAGCACCATCACCATCACCAGCAGCAGCATCATTTTCATGACCACCATCAGCACCATTGCCATCAGCAGCACCACTGGGCGCAGCAGCGGCATGAGCAGAAGAACCATGAGCATGCTCTGCCGCGCCATGACTGGCAGCAGCATCAGTGGCAGCAGCATCAGCGGGAGCAGCATCAATGGGAGCAGCATCATCTGGAGCAGCATCAGTGACAGCAGTATCGGTAGGAGCAGTATCAGTGGCAGCAGTATCGGTGGGAGCAGCATCAGTGGCAGCAGCGTCAGCGACAGCAGTTTGAGGGACTCCGGGAGGTTGTGGCTGTGTGGAGCGCGATGGAGTGGCGAGCTGCGCACACTCCCTCAGCTGCTGCAGCATCAGCACCTGGTCCAAGGGAACAGAGCAGGGAGAGGGGAGGGGGAAGGGAAGAGGGGGGCAGGGGGAACGCAGAGGGGGGGGGAGTGTGATGGAGTGGCGAGCTGTGCACACTCCCTCAGCTGCTGCAGCATCTGCACTGCACCTGATCCCAGGGAAGAGGGAACTGGGAGAGGGAGGCGAAAACGGAGAGAGGGAGGGGAGGCGGGGACGGAGGAGAAAGGAAGGAGGGAGGGAGGGAGGGAGGGAGGGAGGGAGGGAGGGAGGGAGGGAGGGAGGGAGGGAGGGAGGGAGGGAGGGAGGGAGGGAGGGAGGGAGGGAGGGAGGGAGGGAGGGAGGGAGGGAAGGGGGGAGGGAGGGAGGGGGGAAGGGGGGGAGGGAGGGAGGGGGGGAGGGAGGGAGGTTGAATGCTTTGAAGAGAAGGGATGGGGAGAGCAACCTCCCTTCACAATACTAATGCATTCCCCCTTCACAGCAACCATCTTTGCAGCCGCACCTGACGCAGTCTCTGCTCTGTGGCGTCTACGAAGGTGCAGAGAACCATCCTCTGATCCTTTGACTCATCCTTGGCACTCGTGGAGTTTGTCGCACGTGCTGCAAGCGATGCAGACACCTCAAACCACCGCCACTCATTACAGCTGCTGCTGCTGCTGCTGCTGCTGCTGCTGCTGCCGCTCCGATTCGCCTCCCCTCCCTTTCCCCCGCCCTCGCCCTCTCTCTTCTCATCTCCCAACTCTTCTCCCCTCTCCCCTTCTCCCAATTTCTCCCCCTCGCCCCCAGCGGTCCCCGTCCCCCCATCGCCCTCCCCTCGCACTGCCAGCCGCACCCACACCTGGCGCTTCCGCCTGCTGCTGTCCGCTGCGCACTCCCCCACAGTTGCCTGCGGATCGGTAGGCGAGGGGGAAGAAGGGGCTAAGTTCACTAGAAGGGGTGCGACAAAGGCGCGGCAGGAGTATATTGGGATAGCGGACGGGAGAGAGAGAGGCGCGGGAGAGGGGCCCCGCCGCTCATGGATCAGTGGGGAATGCGAGATGGGTGATGGGAGAAAAGGATGGTGATGGGAGAGAATGGTGATGGGATAGAATGGTGATGGGAGAGCATGAGATGGGAGAGCATGGTGATGGGAGAGAATGGTGATGAGAAGAGAATGGTGATGGGAGAGCATGGTGATGGGAGAGAATGGTGATGAGAAGAGAATGGTGATGAGAGAGCACGGTGATGGGAGAGCATGGTGATGGGAAGAGAATGGTGATGGGAGAGAAGGATGGTGATGGGAGAAGAGGAACAAGGGGACCTTCAAGCCTATTGTAGGTATCGGAGACACCAGAGGCACACAATAGCCTGCTTTGTTTATTAGCTCAGTAACATCAAAAGAATAAAAAATCAGGCATACCACCAGCTTCACTTATTGAACCTCAGGTATCGAATAACAGCTTCAACAGCTTTAGTACTTGCTCGTCTCACCTCCAGCGCGGCTCTATCGGAAGGGTGAACTAACGACTGCACGCGCTTTCCGGAAAGGTCGCATTGCGGCAGGCCGAGCGTATCGGCTAAGGCAGCGCTGTTGCACGCAGCGAAAGGGGAAGGGGGTGAAACGTTGGAGTTGAAAATTCAGGACGTCGTTCTCGTTGTCGAAACATTTCCATCAAATGCCCGGAAAGTCCCTGAGAATGCTAATAACGAGACCTTTCTAGGACAAGAACCTGTTTGCCGGCCGGTTCTAATCGGTACACGCGACCGCCTGACCCAACACCGAAAATGACTCATCTACTAAGATGGAGGGTGGGAACCGGCGGCGATCAGGTTGCTGATTCTCGCCTATAAGCCGGCGCGATCAATCATGCGATGATCCAACCTCAGTTGCGATCGAAACTTTCGATCAATTTTAGGAGGGTGTGACATGTTTTTTTATTCAAGTTGCAATTCACAGTCCCGTACTCCCCTCAATCCACGCATTTTCAATCGCTCTACCTGCATTGCGCTAACCGCTGTTCCCTCGCGTCCCCGGCGCTCACGGCCACCAGCACAGCGGGAACGGCCTGGAGAAGCGAACTCTTAAGAATGTCCAAGACGTTTTCAGCCATGCCAGATCTTGTGTAAGGCACCTGTGCTGCCGCTTACTACAGACTGTTAGCATTGGACAAGTTATAAGCTGTGTATATAGTATGTTAGCATAATAGGTGGTTAATCTTTTTCTATGACGACTTAGCGTAGGAACTGGAAAAAACTACTAGCTGCTGATCTGGAAAGTGTCTTGAGAAAATGCCGTGACTTCTTTTTGCTCAGGCATAGAACTTACAGCTGGAGATACAATGGAAGTGCATGGCAAGGGTTTGAACAGCAAATTCAGCAGCCCTGAGCGAAACAGCTGTGCTGTAATTCTGCTGGTTACAGGGTCGTGCGAGAATCGCATACAGCAGAGTTGCCTGTGTTGAGGATAACGGGGCCGCTGGTGGATGGGCTGCCCCCAGCGGTGGCGGTGCCTGGGAGGAAAGCTACAGTGGTAGCGTCTGGGCACAGAACGACAGAATCTGGATTCGGACGCCTAGACTTGTCACATCTGAAGCACGCCGAGATCCATGCGCTGATCCGCGGCTATCGGATTTTCAATCTAACCACGTGGCACACAAGTTGAGACTGGCTTCGGCAGCACGACAGAATTCCTCGGGTGAAGCGTACGTAGACCGTACATGCATTTTCTACACAATATTTTAAATAAGCAGATTCCTAGGTAGTATTAGCTATTGTTTAGGTCACCAGAAACAGCTTTACAGAAAAGTCGATGACTTTCTGGATGAATTTGACGGGATAAAATCAGTCGTTCTGGAAACATCCAGAAACCAGAAATCCCGGCCAAACCGAATGTTGTCGTGGTGACAGGGATACACTTACATTTACGGCTGTTCTGCGCACGGGTGTAGGACTGAATCAAGACACGTCAGTCGCATCTTCTTTGGGCATGGTTGCTTGCCTGTGTTGCCTTGATGCTGATTCCTCGTATCATTTGCAGCAATGTAGGTGGCAGAGGTTGCGCATCATATCCCACCAGGGTGTTTCGAAGTTGGGACACTTTGCGTACTGGCTTTTCTTTGATTATCCAAATTAACTGGTACTAATCAGTTATCTGTCTAGCCCTCAAAATTGGAGGGAACCTGCCAGTGATGGCCCACAATGTGGTTAGGCTGGTCCCCTTTGACCGATTAGACTAGTGATGTACACCAATTTATTCTATACTCTTTCATGGATAAGGGCCATACCCAAGGTCCTATTTATTGTTCACTAACTGGAGCAATATTGATTGTATGTCCCTCAACCTGATTGGTTTGGCAATAAATCCATCCATCCCCACGCTTGCGCATCTGTCCCTTTCATGCTTAAGCACGCTAGCTGTGACAGCATAAATGGCGGACCTTTGAACCACCCTGTCGTGTGGGCTTTCCTCTCCTCTCTGATCATCCATTGCCGATTGTGTGTCTGCCAAGGTTGAAGCACTTACAGTTTCCATCCCACTATTGGATTGAAGCTTTCGAATGCGAGTGGTGGCTTCAAAACCATCCATGACAGGCATGTGACAATCCTGCAAGAGAAAAACAAAAGGAGTGTGAGCAAACTGGTCCACATGTTTGAGGTAATCGGGAAAAGCAACAGATGAGAGACCATAGACCGACCATAAAGATGACGTGGTAGTTGGTGTTGTAGCGGGAAAGAGAAGAAGCTATAGAGAGACCATGCACGTACCGACCACAAAGATGACGTGGCAGGTGGTGGACTGACCATGAAGATGACGTGGCAGTTGGTGGACTGACCATGAAGATGACGTGGCAGTTGGTGGAGTGGCAGGCCTCCACGGCCTTGTGCCCATTCTCTGCCACGTCACACGACACTCGCAGGTTCCTCAGCAGCTGCACCACCACCATGCGATTCACCGCGTTGTCCTCCACCACCAGGCACCGCAGCCCCTCAAACACCCCGTTGCAAGACGGCGACTTCGGAAATGCGCCACCCTTCGAGGGTGACTTCAGGAATTTCCCATTATGAGAGGGGGAGTTGGGAAAAACACCACCCATAGAGGGGGGCCTGGAAAATGCGCCACCATTAGAGCGCGACTTGGGAAATACCCCATTAGACGGGGACTTGGAATCTGCACCTGCTGCAACCTTTTCAAGAGGCATCCTTTTCTCACCATGTCTCTCCCTCCATATCCTGCTTTCTCGCATCTGCTCGCCACCTTGCCCCTCCCGACCTTCCTCTGCTGAACCAGCAGCGCCTTCTATTCTCACTCTCTTGAATTCTTGGCCTGTCTCAAACACCTCTTGGCCTTGAGCTGACACAGATGCAGCTGCTACCCATTCAGGAGCTTCAGACGCATCTGCCCCACTCCGTCTCCCCTTCACACCACATTCCTTTCCCTCTGACCCATGCTGCTGCTGCTGCTCCTGCTGCTGCTGTTTCAGCTGCTCACCAGCATGACTCGGTTGCATCTCCTCCTGCTTGCTCCTGTCGTAGCCCTGCAGCGCTGCCGCCACTGGCAGCACCGGGAAAACCCCACAGTTGGCCACATTCTCCAGCAGAAAGGACCGGTTCCTCTTGTGCCCTCGGCGCTTCTCTCTGCCTTTCTGCTCCTGCATCCCCTCCCCTTGACTACTCCTACCAGCAACCCCCGCAGCTGTCACATCCGCAGCAGCGGGAGCAGCAGCAAGAGCAGCAGTAGCAGCAGGAGCGTCAGAAGCAGCAGGAGCAGTGGCACCACCACCATTTACAGTACGGTCACCACCACGACACTCTCATCTGGGCAGAAGACAGGCGAGAAGGGCAGGTGGAGCGAGAAGGTGGAGCCGTGGCGGGGGGAGGAGGCGACGGAGATGCATCCCCCCATGAGCGCCGCGAGCGAGCGACAGATGGAGAGACCCAGGCCCGTGCCGCCGTGCTTGCGGCACGACGAGTCGTCCACCTGCCGGAACGGCGTGAACAGCCTCGTAAGTGCATCTGTGGAGATCCCCTCTCCTGTGTCCTTGATGTCTATCCTCACCCACACCACTGCCCTCCGCTCCTCCCCACCCTCATTCTCATTCTCATTCCCACCCCCACTCCCATCACCGTCCCCATGCATATCCCCATCCCCATGCTCCTGCCCATGTGTATGCCCCGCCCCATGCCCATCCCCTTCAGCATCCACCACCTCCCTTCTCCTCCCAGGTAAATCGCCGCTTCCCTCTAGTCCCTCCTTCAGTACTGTTGCCTCTGCCCCTGCCTCTCCCCGTGCATCATCTGCCACTTTCCTGGCCTGACCCTCGTCCTCCCCGCCTCTACTCACATCCCCTCGGTCCTCCTCGCTTCCGTCACCTTCCTGCCCCCATGCATCCAAGGAAAGGGAGTGTGGGAAAGCAGATGCGACTGGGTGCGGAGAAGCGGTTGAAAACATGGCGTCGACTGTTGCTGCGTCCGCTGCTGCTGCTGCTGCAGCGTCGGCTGGGGCTGAAACTGATATCTCCCTTGGAAGGGAACGTGCAGGGGCGAGTGGGTGCAGAGAGGTGATTGAGAATACTGCATTGTCGGCTGCAGCATCTGCTGCTGCTGATGCAGCTACAGCCATGAACTCAGGATCCACACTCCCACCACTCCCACTACGCTCACCACTCCCGCTACGCTCACCACTCCCACTACGCTCACCACTCCCACTACGCTCACCACTCCCACTACGCTCACCACTCCCACTACGCTCACTGCCGCTATTCCCCTCCCAAGGTGCTCTCCCAGGCCGAGCTCGCTCTCCACTGTGAGCATCATATACAGCCCCCGGCTCTGCTGCTGAGCCTACCACCGTCTCCTCTGCTGCCAACTCCCTTGCATCTGCTTCCGCCCCTGCGTCTGCTCCAAAGCCTGTCCCCGCTCCTGCCTTCGCCTCTGCTACTGCTCCAGCCTCTACCTGCTCTCTCTCACCATGCCGCTGCTTCTTTCCTGCGGACATAAAGGCGCCTTCCGCTTCCTTCTCAGCATCGCTATGCTGCCGTTTCCTCCCTGCAGACACAACCCCACCCTGCTGCTCCCCAGGCGCAAGGGGCGAGCTGAGGGGGTCAGTGACTTCATGGTCAAAGGGGTTGGGAGAGAGCGCGGCATAAGGAGCGCCCTGCTGCTTCTCAGGCCCAAGGGGCGGGTTGAGAGGGTCAGCAGGTTCATGGTCAAAGGGGTTGGGGGAGAGGGCTATGGAGAGGAGGACGTGGCCTTGGTCGGTGAACTTGATGGCGTTGGAGAGCAGATTGAGCAGAATCTGCCTCACCCGCAGCTGATCCCCCTCCACCCACTCCGGTACGCCCCTGCCCACCCGGCTCTGCAACTGCGTTATGTAGTAGAGAAAAGGGGAAAGAGAATACGTGTGGGGGAGACAGGGTAAGAGAATGTGCAGTGAAAAGATCTCGCACAGCAGCGAGGGGACAGACGAGGGGAGACAGGAGTTGGGAGATATAAGACGGGAGACAGGGGCCAGGCTTGTAACATTTCCATATGGCCAAGGAGTTTTGAATAGGCACGACCAGTTAACACACTTTCAAAACCAGGTCAAAACTGAGCCAAAACAAGCTCCATCTCTTACCGCGAGTTTCTTGTTCTCGGCAGCTGGTCTCACGGCCTCCACGCACTCAGCCATCGTCTCCCGGAGGTTGAACGGGCAGCAGTCCAGCAGCAGCGAGTTTGTCTCAATCTTGGTGATATCCAGCACATCAGATATGATATGGATGAGTGCGCTTCCAGACGAGGAGATGACATCAACGTAGGAGCGCTGCTGCGGGGTGAGGGGCGTGCGGAGGAGCAGCTCGGCGACGCCGATGACGCCATTCATGGGGGTGCGCAGCTCATGGCTCATGTTCGCCAGGAACCGGTTCTTCGCCTCGTTGCCCGCCTCGGCCGCCTCCTTGGCCGCCTTCAGCTCCTCCTCCTTGCGCTTCATCTCCGTTATGTCGTGCCACACCGACATGTACAGGCGCTCGCCGTTGATCATGACCATCTGCAGAGAGCAGGGGAGTAGAGACGTAAGGGGAAGCTGTTTTGTGGCGTCTCGAAAAGAGGCGCTTCCATGTCTGCATTGTGGTGCCACACCGACACTACAGGCGCTCGCCGTCGATCATGACCATCTGCAGAGAGAAGAAGTGAAGGCATTAGGCATTTAGATGTCCTTCATGAGGACGAAAAACCACGAGCCGTTAAAATGGTGAGCATCCACTCAAACGGTGCACAGTCTGTTCATTCTAGACTCTAGTGGTTACACAGTGGAGGTTCTGCTCACCTTGACCTTCACCAGCACGTGAAACTCTGAGCCATCCAGTCGGGTGTGCACCCACTCGAACGGCGCACACTCCCCCTTCTCCATCAGCTCTGCGAGTATCTCCTTGAATAGCTCCAAGCTTTGCCGGCCGCACGGCTGCAGCTCAGGGGAGTGCTGGAGAAGGTAGCCCTTGCGCAGATTCGCCAGGGCGGCAGAAGTGGAGGGGAATCCGAGGATGCGGGCGGCAGCGGGGTTGAGGTCGTGCGGTAATTGTTCCACTGTGTTGATGAGAATAGGGTCCTGTTGGGCAGAGCAGAGGGTGGGGTGAGAGAAAAGGGAGGCTTGTTTAGGTACCTAAAGAAGCAGTATTTGTTTGCGATCATGCAGTATTTGTTCGATTGAGTTGATAAGAACGGGCTCCTGCAGGGAGGTGGGTGTGAAAGGAGGGGTGGAAGAGAGGGGTGGAAGAGTGGGGTGGAAAAGGATTGAGGTCGTGCGGTAATTGTTCCATTGAGTTGATGAGAATAGGGTCCTGGGGGGAGGTGGAACAAGAGGAAGGGGAAAGGTTAGAGGTGAATTGAGGCAAGGAAACAGGTTGAGAGAGGGTGGTGGTGGTGGGAGGGGGACGAGTGGAGGGACTGATGGTGCTTGTCAAATATCGCTGTCACCCTCACCATGGACATCTCAAATATCGCATGGAACTTGGCGCTTTCATGGCTCCACTGCAGCGACTGCTTGACTCCCTTCAGCAGAGCCACCATCTGTTGCAACGCGTCCATGCTGCCATCTCCGTTCTCCACACCACCGTCTCCTCTGCTGCACCCCCCACTCGTCCCATTGACCCCACTCGCCTCTCCACCCCCTGTCGCCTGCTCCCCCCTGCTTCTACCCTCCTCAACCGGCTCCACCTCCCTGCCACCGCCGCCGCTGTGCACGCCACTGTTGTGCACGCCACTACTGCTGCTGCTGCCGTTCCTGCTGCTGCCCACGTGCTGCTGTTCCTCCCTGCCGTTCGAATCAGGGGGGTTGGCTCTGTTGAGGGCGAAACTAGCGGGCGGTGGCTCATGCTGTAAGCTATGATGATGCGACTCATTGCTTGCAGCCATGTCCTGGTGAGAGGCCAAAACAGGCTCAAAGGAGTCTTTCAACCTCTGCAGCATGCGGCCCTGCCATGGGAACGAGAGCAGTGAGTGGGCGAAAGACGAAACACTATCTGCGAAGGCGCCTCGAAAGTGGAGACACGTCGCGCGTGGAGAGAGATAGTGGAGAGACCGTGGAGAGACAGTGGGAAGGAGACAGCAGCAGACAATGGTAAGGAGACAGCAGGAAAAGGTCGGTGGGAAGGAGACAGTGGAGGAGGGCCGTGTCACTACTCCGGTAGGCTACCTCGGTGTTGCCGTATGCCTTGGCCAGACAAATACACTTCTCTGGCCTGCATCCCTCCATACCTTCCACCCTCTCACCTCTTGCTTCCTCCGCTCGGAAATGTCCAGGAAAGTGCAGAGAACCATCCTTGGCTCGCGGGCTCCGCCACTGGAACCTTCCCGGGCTGCTTCTGCAGGAGGCGGTCCGTGCGAAGATGTACACGTGGCAACCCTCTCACGAGGACACGTGGCAAGAGAGACGGACATCTCAAGCCATCGCCACTCACTGCTGCATATGCTGTAGGCGTCTTCCTCCTCTCCCTCCTGCCCCCTCCCCTGTCCCTCTCCTTGGCTCTCCCCCCTCGTTTCTCCCCTCGCACCCCGCTTCTGCTCTCGCCCATCTCTCCCTCCTAGGGTTGTCAGCCTCACCCCAACGCGCCTCTTGGCCTTACCGCCGTCCGAGGCATCACATGCAGCCAGCACAGCCTGCGCCGGAGGAGGGGGTTGCGACACGGAATTGAGAACGATTGAGATACGGAGAACAAGGATTGAGACCAAGATGGGGATGAGAACAATTGGATGGTGACGACTTTTGCTGAGCAGAAGAGCCCCTTGTGCCCCTTTTCTGGTGAAAATCATGCCGACTTTTATAATGGGGAAAATAGTGCATGTACACACTCTCTCAATCTTAAGTGCGAAGAAGGAATAAATTCCTCTTGTGGTTCCCAAAAATCGCAATTTGGGGACCTCCGAGAGATGGTGCTTGCCTGAGCGGAAGCTCGGTCTGCTGGGTGAACCAAGGGGAGGAAGCTCCTTCCGATTATCTGCGATTGTCCGCACTGCGCGCCAAGCAGACCCAATAGTGCAGAGCTGCTTAGGGACCAGGAAACAGGCGATGGGGAAACACGCCGGATGAGCGAAGTTCGTGGGAGATGAGAAGCCAGGCGACGGTGAATACGAAATTTCGTATGGTAGTAGAAAATTGTCACAAAATTTTGCCCAAAAAATCCGTTCAACAGAAAGGCCACGTAGGATTCCACAAAGGATGCTACCATTGCGTGGGGGGCAATTTTTTTTTTTTTTTACGAAGGTTCAAAGTCTGATGGTTCTGGCAGATAGTAGGGAGAGGGTATTCATAGACATTAAATTTGCTGATCCTGACTAGAAGAGGCTCGCAGCGAGGCACACGACGTCGGAGCTCCGTTGCACTCTTCAGTTCATCTTTTCCTCCCATTCAGGCCTACCTGCATTGCGCTATTCGAATCTCCCTCGCGTCGCTGCTGACGGCGAGCAGGGCAGCGGGAACAGCTTGAAACAGAGACTCCTGTAGAAGTGACGAGAATGTTGACATAATTTTAAGAAGTTATGCAGTCTGTGCAGCCTCGTTTTCAACTTGTATTGGTATCAAATACCCGTCGTATACACCAATTTTAAAATTGACCACGTTGAAACGGTTTTCCTGTGTGTCCAGGCCAAGGTATTCCGATCTCAAGGACGACGTTACAACAAATATTCAAAAGCAGCATTTTAGTGGAATCTCGTGCACTCAGCGATAGGCTAGCACTACAAAATGCTTCAGGTTCCTCTACAGCGTTCCTGCTCTCAATCTAACGGGTGAGAAAGAGACAGTCATATGGTGAGTGATCGGCTTGCAACTCCTACGATGTAAGCATAGCTCAACAAAGGGTCACTGACCCATCGGCAATGGAAGGGGTGGTCAGGAAGGACAGGACAGGAGCAAGCAACCCCCCTGACAGCTGCTCATCTCAACACAAGCAAGCAGGATGGACGTACCTAGGATGTAGAAACAAACTGCTTCCCTCCCCCGTCAGGGATTTGCTGTGTCAACCAGCAAGACTTCCCTGATTTCCGTTTGCTACGTGTCTGATGCAATCTGAGAAACGCTCGCAGCGGCCCTCCAAAAAATGCATATGGATCCAACGAACCCAATGCATCCGGCGGTTTCGAGACGGGGAATTCCAAACAAGCCGACAGGAGACTTGATGCCGTAGGGATCGGATGTGTGGTGACGTGGACGGATGGGATGCGAGAAGATGGTACTGTACAGTTGGGCGATGCGGTACAGAAATTCGGGATGACATGAGATGGGGTGAAATTCGGGATGGGATGAAATGAAATGGGATGGGATCTTGAGATCAAGGGATGCGATGGCGTCCGGAATAAGAAGGCGGAGTGGGGTGCGGTTGGTAGGGATGTGAATTGCGCTGCGGTTGGATGGACAGAATGTGGCGAATCGGTGTTTCGTTGTGGTGCGGTTGCTCGCTTATTGCGATTCGCGCGTGCACTGCTGCTTTTCACGAGATTTTGTTTCACGTGGACCCAGTCAGTGCTGGCGAACGGAGTGGCGGCGTATCTGATGCGATGGGATGCCGAAGATTTGGTTGAAACAAGCGCCACAGCTTCTCGTTTTGATGCAATGGGGTGTTTGACCCTATTTAGTCCAGGTCAGTTTGCACGCTTCATGAGGCTGACACAGCCTCCTGAAATGGGGTGAACCACTTTTCTAGCCTCCTTTTGGCGGGAGTACCCCTTTTCACAAGGTACAGTACTGCCCCAGCTAGAGTCAACGGGATATGCATGGTGACGTGCTTGGTCATAACATTGTGCTGTGACGTGCCACAACCAAGTACCATACTAAACCATATTATTACCATTCACTATAGCACCTAAACATTTCAAATCGAGTATTTCCAGAATAAAAATAGCACCCACGAACAAAACTCTCTTATTTGAGTGAATCTTCATACTCTAGCTTCAGTGAGAAAACGATAAGTGTGCTGAGTCCTAGGGCTGTCAGTAAAATGTAGGGGAAGTGGCAGAGAGCTGTTGGTGTTTCAAGGATGACTTTGCTGCCAACTCTGCACCAAGCATCTGCAGAGAAGAGAAACAAGAGAATTCAATCAATGCAAGGGACAGCGATGAGAGTACCAAGGCCAGAAGGGAGTTAAAGAAGTAGAAAGCACAGAAAACAACTCACCCTGTACTTAGGTGCTGATTCTGCTCCCTTAGTCAGAAACCTTCCATTGCCGTGCCCATTGTCCCCCCACTCATCCCCACCCAGCATATAACCCTTCTCCCCTCCCCCTCCCCCCATCATCCCCACCCCAAGCACCTCCGCTCCCCCCTCCCTCCCCAAAAAGCTACTCGCACAGTCCGAGAAGCTGCCACTGCTGCTAAGCCCTTCGTGTGAGCCATCCCCATCCCCGTCCCCATCCGCATCCCCATCGCCCCACTCGTCACTCTCACTGAACCCAGCCACTTCTGTTGTCGCATCCGTTACGCTCCACATCTCCGTTCCTTCAGTAACCGCATCCGCATCCTCGCGATCTGAACCATCCATCGACCCTCCCCCACCGATCCCCCCTCCTCGCTCTCCCGCCCTCCTCCCCTTCCCCCCTCGCCGGCTGCCTCTCCTCAACCCGCCCTCGCTCCGGCACCTCTCCTTCTCCTCGTTAATTTCCCGCCCGTTATAATCACTATCGCCTTCAGGCTCATCGCTGCACTGGCTTGAGCCGATAATATCGCCCCAGACGCTCAACCCGCCGTCCACACAGGCGACGAGGGAAAGCAGCGAATCGGAATGGTGGAGAGCGGTGGCCGCAGAGGGCGGGTGCGAGTAGGTCGAGAGCAGCAACGCGTGGATGTTGCTCATCGGATGCACATTATTCACGGAGCCACCGTTGCTCGTGCAACTCCTGCTGCTGCTGCTGTTGCTGCTGCTGTTGCTGCTGCTGCTTGTTGTTCCTAGGGCGTGTTTCACAGGCAAGGTTCGATCAGGAGACGCCACTCCCGCTAGAGCCTGATCCACCACCGACAGAGCCGCACACACCTCCTCTGCTACCTCCACCACCACTTGCTCCCCCCACTCCCCCACCTCCCCTCCCTCCCCACACCCCTCCCTCTCCACCGCTCCAAACGCCTCTCGACCTCCCGCTACCCCTCCTCCTGCTCCCGCGTTCCCCCAGCAGCCGCGCTGCTTCCTCCCGCTGCTGCCAGCACTGGAGGGGGAAGAGCCACTGGGGGAGGAGCCTCGAGGAGGGGTGGAGGGGCGGCGAGGGCTGCGCGGCACATCACTCAACCTCCCGCGGCCGTTAGAACCACCTGACTGCACCCTCCCGTGCGCCCCTTCCACCCCGCCCACTCCAACCCCTCCGAACCCATCTGCACCTGCCCCAACGTCCCCAGCACCGCTCCCAACACCCCCAGCACCAGGGCCGGTATTGTTGGGTTGGGAGCGGCGGCGGGAGGAGGGTTTGCGGGTGGAGCATTCGCCACAGGTGGCACAGAGAAGCTGGTCGGGGAAGAGAGGAGGAAAGCCGCATGCAGAGCAGGCGTTGGGCTGCCAGCGCTGCACTCCGGGGAGAGTAGGGCCGCCAAACACCTGCATTGGGAGAACAGCAAGAGAGGCAGCACGTGCAGCATAGGGGGGCGTTGAAGTGAGCGGAACAGCCTTGCACAAAGCCATACATGCATGCAGGCTCAGTACCAGCGCTGGCACCATACCTGTTTGATCGCTCGGTACAGAGCTGGCACCTTACCTGCATGCAGGTACAGAATTATGTAGGTTTGAGAGAGAGCGCCATACCTGCCGGAAGGCTTGGTAGTAGTGCAGGTGCTCAGGGTCCCGTATCCGAACCTGGTCCTCCCGCTTCACCCTCTGCCTCTCCGCCTGAAACTCCTCCCGTGCCATCCTCCTTGCAAAGTGGCGTGTCAGTGCCACTGTGCCCGCTCCCACCTGGTGTCGGGAGAGGGGTAAGAAGGGGAAGCAGCACAGAGGGGATTGAGTTAGCTTAGCCCATCTGGAACTCCTCGCGCTCCATCCTCCTTGCAAAGAGGCGTGTCAGTGCCACTGTGCCCGCTCCCACCTGATGTGTGGACAAGAGGTCAGAAGCGGCAGCAGTACAGAGATTGAGTTGACTTAGCCTATACACATCCTCCCGTGCCATCCTGCGTGCAAAGTGGCAAGTTAGGCACCACTTCAGGGAAGGCCATACGCAGCAGGCAGCAGGGCACACACATAATGGCACCATTTAGCCACTAGAACCCACCCTGACCCCCCTCCACCACTCTGCACACCTCGATGGGGTCCTTGGGATGGTGGGCAGAGACCACTCGAGGGAAGGCCATGCGCAACAGCAGGTTACGCAGCATGGCACGCAGACATGGCACTAACGAGAAACGACCCATTGTGACAACCCCCCACCACTCTGCACACCTCAATGGGGTCCTTGGGCCGGCGGGCAGACACCACTTCAGGGAAGGCCATGCGCAACAGCAGGTTGCCCTCGTTATAGTCGCACCACTCCTCGCTGCGCCCCTCCCCCAGCAGCTCGTCTTTGGTCAGCCCCAAGGCGAACTCCTGCAGGGCCGGGTGCAGGAACGGCTGCCGAACCTGCAGGTTTGGAGGCAGAGTGGAAACAGGTTTGGCAGGAAGAGAGGGGAAGGAAAGGGTAAGGAGGAGCACAAGAAAGCTGGGGAAAGAGTAGGAAAGGGAGGCAACACAGAGCAGTAGATGAACTCACGTCTACTGTATTGAGACGTGTCCAAGGCATAAGTGCGCCACGTGAGATAGAACTCACATCAAGGCCGAGCGCGTGTGCGAGGTCGCGGCAGGGGAAGCGTAGCACGTCCACCATGTGGTGCCGACACTCCTGCAGCTTGGAGCTTGGTTTGCAACCCCCACAGTACCGCACGAGTAGAAGTAATAACACAAGGGCTCACCTCAAGACCAAGAGCGTGGGCGAGGTCCCGGCAGGGGAAGCGCAGCACATCCACCATGTGGTGCCGACACTCCTGCAGCTTGGCATCGCTCATTCGCACCATGAAGTCAAACCTGCAGATGCACACAGAGAAAAACGGGGAAAATAAAAACGGGAAAACGGGTACAAAATGGGGGAAAACGGGGGAGAGAGGGGGGCACACAAGGACAAACATGCGTTGCACTTGTGCAACATGCATTTGCGTGGCGTCAAGTTTTGAGGCGCCTCAAAAGGCGCCTCGTCTGCGCCATCGCCCACCATCACGGAGCAGAAGCCCTGCCTTTATGTGTATATCCCTTCCCATTCCCTAGTCTCCCCCCTCACAGCCCCTTCTTTCCCCATCCATGCACTCACGCAGTGAAGAGCTCGTCTGCACCATCGCCCACCATCACCGAGCAGAACCCCTGCCTCTTGGCCTCCCTTAGCCCAGCTGCCAGCACCACGCCCATGCGGATCTGGAATGGGCAGAGGGGAGAGGCGGAGGGAGAGGGAGGTGGGGGGCGGGGGAAGGGGAGGGGGGCAAGGGAGAGGAAGCGAGAGGAAGCAGTTGAACAAAGCGCATTTGCCTGGTCCCACCTGGTCCCACCTGGTCACACCTGGTCACACCTGGTCACACCTGGTCACACCTGGTCACATCTGGTCGCACCCGGTCACATCTGGTCACACCTGGTCCCACCTGGTCACACCTGGTCACACCTGGTCACACCTGGTCACACCTGGTCACACCTGGTCACACCTGGTCACACCTGGCCACACTGCAAGCTTCCAACCCCAACATACAGTGCCTCACCTCAGCGGGGTCGAAGCTCTTCAATACGCGCACCACGAATCGCAACTCCGTCTCCAGCAGATGCTCTGGCTGAAACCCCTGTCTAACTCACACCTGGTCGCACCTGGTCACATTGCAAGCTTCCAACCCAAGCCACAATGCCTCACCTCAGCAGGGTCGAAGCTCTTTAACACGCGCACCACGAATCGCAACTCCGTCTCCAGCAGATGCTCCGGCTGAAACCCGGGCCCGCCCCCCACAAACACATGCCCCCCGCTCCCCCCCGCGCCCATCCCCGCGCCCATCCCCGCGCCTAACTGACACCCGCGCGCGGCCGCCGCCGCGGGCAGCCTGTCCGCCGCCTTGGGGCTCGCGAGGACGGTGATGGCGGCGGCGATGCTGCCCGGCCAGACGAGCGACGTGGCGGCGTGCGCGATGATGGTGGAGGCCAGCCCGCCCGAGAGGAGAAGGCAGTCCGCGGGGAGGGAATCCTCTATCGTCGCGAGGAAGAGCGCGCGCAGCTGCGCCGCCTTGAGCGCCGCGCCTGTGAGGGAGATGGCGGGCGGGGGGGGGGACGCGGGGGAAGCGTCCTCCTGCTGCTGCTCTGCCTCTTCCTGATGCGGCTCCTGCTGCTGCTGCTGCTGCTGCTGCTGCTGCTGCTGCTGCTGGTGTTGCTGCTGCTGGTAAAGCTCTGGCGTTGCCTCTGGTTGCGTCTGTTGCTGTGACCCCTCCTCTAACCTCAACTGAGTCAAAAACAGCTGCTGTATCCGCTCCTGCTCCTGCTCCTCCTGCGCCAAAATCCGCGCCTGCTCCTGCGCCTGCGATTGCACGTCCGCTATCCTCACTTCCTCGTCCTTCCTCTCCGCCTCTATCCCCGCCTCCTCCGCGTCCTTCCCCCCTTTCCCCCGCTTCAGCCCCCACAGCGACCGCCTGGAGCTGCGCCCGGGGGGGGAGGGGAGGCCAGGGGCTCGGGGGAGGGCGCGGGGGGCGAAGCACTTGCGCCACCCGCCAGGCTGGCGGAGGCGGCAGCAGCGCCAGCCGCAGTGATAGGAGCAGCGGCGGCGGCAGCGGCGCTGCTGCTTGCTGCTGCGACACTTCCCGTGTAACCAGGAGGCGGGCGAAGAGGAGCAAGCATTTCGTTGTTCGCCACCGCCACATTCGCCACCTTCGCCACCTCCCCCTTGCTGCTCCCCTGCCCTTGCAACTGCTGCGCGTGCCCCGCCTGCTGCTGTTTCCCCGCCGCCTTGGCCACCAAAGCCGCCTCCCGCGCCGCTTCTTTCGCCCCCTTAGCCGCTGCTTCCGATGCCAATTGCGCAAACCACCCCTCCCCCTCGCCCTCCCCCCCGCTTCCGCCCCCCTTTTCCCCCGAGCTGCCGCTCCCCGAATTTCCCCCCTTCCCCACATCCAGTTTTCCCCAGTTTCCCCCCGCCAGGTCGACCCCTCCGCCATCCCCCAGCAGCGCGCGCCATGCGCCCACGCACCCGCCCGTCAACTGCGCGTACGCCCTCCCCTCGTACTTAATCTCAATCTCCGGGAATTCCGCGCCTGCTGCCACGTGTCCCGCGCCCAATCCGCGGCTGTTGCGGAAAGAGGAAAGCGGCGCGTCGTTATCACCGCCAGCAGCGGCGCCAGAGCGGTTCACTGCGGTTCTGTGGTTTGGGAACCGGCGCGCATGGAGAATCTCCACCATAATCTCCGCCGACTCAACTATAGTCGGCCCAGAGTTATTAAAGTAACGGTCGCCGTCAGCCACAAAGACGGAATCCGTCTGAACCGCTCTCAACCGGTTCCACTGGGGCAAATCGTCCAGGTTAAGAAACTCTCTTAGAACGCCTTCCATAGACAAGCCGCAGCACATGGCGATGATGACGTCAGGGTCCAAAGATAGAAGGGTTTCCAAAGTTAGCATGGCCGTGCGCTCCCCCGGCTGTGGGCGGAAGAAGGGCGAAAAAGGGGAACAGGGGGAAACGGTTGGAACACAGTGGTGGGTGGGTGGCATTGAGGGTACAAGACGGGGAAACGGAAAGGCTAATAGCGCCTGAGGTTACGCAATTCACCTGCATAATTCAACTACATTTCCCCGCCTTCCACCCTTCGCTCATTCACCCTCCATCTCATGTCCCACCTTCCCCATGTCTCACCTCCCCCGTATCTCATCGCCCCCATGTCTCACCTTCCCCGACAGGCTCTTCCCTCCCGCGCACGCAACAATCTCCGGAACCCAGAACCCCGCGCCCATGAGCGGGCGCAGCCACTGCAGGCACACCACGCGCACGCGCGGAGACGATCCGCGGAGCGGAACCTGCCTGCGCACGAGCGACCAGCGCGCTTTGAGAGTCTGCACGAGCACGCAGCCCTTCTCCCTGTGCCCCACGGCCGCCGCGACCTGAACCATGTTGTCCCATACGTCCGAGATCGTGATTGGCTTGAGCGACACCACGTGGCACACGTGGCCAGAGTCCTCGCGCTGCTTGAAGTACTCCGCGCACGCCGCCTCGAGGTCCGCTACAGTCACCATGCACACGTCGCACGCGTCCTGCGTTATAATCACATCTGGCTGCAGTCGCTTTATCGCTTCCACGTCCACGTGGTATCGCGAGAGGCTCTTCCGCAGGCGCTGCGACAGCTGCGGTTGGGGAAAAAGGGGAGCGGGAAGGGGGACGCGGAAGGGAGAAGCGGGAAAGGGAAGCCGGCAAGGCGGAGGGGGAAGGGAGTGGGAGGAGGGCATGAGAGCAGTGTTTAAACGAGGCAGGACGAGACGACACGAAAGAGAATGCTTCTGAACAGAACCCAAAAAACCGCCACGCCACATTGCACCCCATTTTTCCGCACTGTGCCGCGAGGGGCACTGCGTACGCGGGAGATTTTCTAGCAGAGAGACCCTTGCGCCCGTGCTGCGATCGGAGGAGGGGAGGGGCGGGCGCGGGAATGAGAGACGCAGGGAGGAGGGTGGCATGGCTGTGGGAGGAGTGGAAATGAATAGGGGATGGCGGTGAGGTGGAGAGGGGGAGAGAAGGGGGCGGGGCGAGGGACAGGTGGGAAGGGAAAGATGAGAAGGTGGGGGGTGGAGGTGAGGGGGGAAGGGGGGGTGTTGGTGGGGTTGGGGAGGGATGCATCGGCTACGACGCAACATGACATCGGATCGCCGCGCGCTCACCGTGTCGTGCGCGGAGCCGCAGCTTGGCCCCTCCACGCCCGATCCCGACGCGGGCGCCGTGACGCACGGCAGCGCGAGCACGGATGGCGGGAACTTGCACTCGTGCGACCGCCCCACGAGCAGATGCTGCAACCCTAGCGTCGCCACCACTTCCGTCGCCGCCCCTAGGAGCGATACAACCCTAAGCGACCCGTCCCTACCCCTGCTCCGGTCCCGGTCTCTGTTCGCGCCGCCAGCGCTGCCCCTGCTGCTGCTCGTTACGCTCGCGCTGGTTGCGCCGTTCGTCCCGCCGTGTCGACCGCTGCTGGCGGTCGCGCTCCCGCTCTCGTTTCCGCCGCTGCTGGCTCGGCTGATCGCGCCCGAGGTTCGGTCTGGCCCTTCGAGGCTCGGGACTGGCGGTTCTATCCGAAGCTTCAGCTGCGGGACTGGCGAGGTGCCGTCGTGCTGCTTTGATGAAGCTTCCTTGGCCTTTCTGTGGATACGCAGCGAGTCAGCCGTTTGCAAAGCCATAGGCGACTCATCGTCTGTACTGGAACGGTCCAGTGAGGAGCGTGCTGAGGTGGAACGGGAGGAGGTAGAGGAGAGGGAGGAGCCAGAAGGAACGGAGGAGGGAGCGGTGGAGGATGGAGACGAAAGAGGAGCGCAATCATCGTCAACAAAGGCCCTCGTAACCTCGATAGTTACGGCAGGCGCGCCCGGCTCGCTCTTCCCCAATGCATAGCTCCTAGGCTTATCTTTCTTGCCCTTCCCTTTCCAGTCCAATAACGAGCCTCCGCTGGAGGTTCGGCTAGGTTTGACCCGAGCCTCCTCTGGAATCTCCTCGCCTGGCGGGACATGATGCGCTTCGGTTGCTGCTGACGTAGGTTCGGCTGTAGCTGCTGCTGACGTGGACTTGGAACTGCCTCCCTTGCGACTGTCTTTAAGAAGCGACAGCCAGCTGCTGCTTTTCTTACGTGATAGTGCCTGCTCGAGATGATGCATGGCTAAATGTTACGTTTGACGGACAAAATCAATCAACGGAAAGTTAATCAACTAACAGTGGGATGTGTGGCGCCAGTGACTAATGTGGGAAGTTAGCGAACCTACGCTCATCTAAACGCATCGTAACCTTCGAAGGCAACCTATGATCTCAAGGCACGTATTTCTGCTGCCTGTTCCTAAGATGCTGTCAACACGGAAGATTCAATGCCGTTTCTTCCTTAGAGCTCGGTGAGGACCAACCTCCTAGAGGTACATAGGTCGTCTGAAACTGTCCCAGCAGCCTGTGACAGGACCATGAACAAAACTAGTTTCTTCCTGAGGATGACATTTTCCACCACTATCAAGCTAAGACAGGACACTGTAGCTCCGCAGAGCGTGAAATTAGGGGGCTTGTTGCTTTGGTTTGGTTTGGTTAGGAGGTAGCAAGCCACCAAAGGGAAGAGGGGAGGGAAGGCCTGGTGGGAGAAAGAGGTTTGGTCGGGAGCTTGGCTCGGTGGTGTGCCGAGCTGCGCAAAGCGTGGTTGCGTTGCCTTCGTGGTCTTCCGCACCTTCACCCCTCACTCCGATTTCGACGAGGCTCGGTTTCAACTCGCACTCAGCTTTCCTTACCAAAACTGAGCACCAGGCTTGGAGGAAAAAGCAAACAGGTACATGCGGGAGCTACTGCAACGCCAGAACAGAAGGAAAAGATTGGGATACACCCAAATTGCCATAGCCTATGTTTCCATCCGAGCCAAACAGGTGCATGTAAGCGCCGTCAAGGCACGTGTGGAAAAGGGTGGAGGGGGTGCTGTGCCTTTTTGCTGAGGAAGGTTGGTTGGGAGTGGCGAAGCAAAGAAAGAACAAGCGCGAGCCAATCAGCGAAAGCCCTGCGTGGGGTGTCTCGAAACAACACAGCCGTGCGTTCGTTCCGAGCCGATCGGCCCAGTCAAGAATTTGCTGCTTGGTAGCATTTTAAAGCAAGCTACGACCTCGGCTTTGCCGAACGTAAATGTCACGCGAGGTTTGGAACCCAACCAGAGTGACGGCATCCACTCGCAATCAAACCGCTAGAGACGACGTTCTGGCTCGGCTGGGCTTCACCCCGAAACCACCGCCGACGAGTCTGATTGGTTGTAAGATCGAGCGCCTCGAGCTGTTCCGAAAGCGCGGGGCCGTCGTCATCCTTGAACCACTCGCGCCGCTTGAAGCTGGGTGGTGACACCACCGCACAGTGACAAAATCGATTGGAAGCAATAGAGTACAGTACTTCTGAATTACAGCACCTCGATGCAATACATTTTGAACTGTTGACATTTAATTAGGCTACGCACAGCCTTGCCCACAGATTCAACCGATTCTGCCCTCAAACCCCCATCTCAACCAAATACCACGACCTGTGATCATGTCCCATTAACTAGCATGGTTTCTACTTTGACGTATTTTTTTCTTCCCGCACCACCCACCTAAGGCACATCTCCAGCATTTTCAGCTTCTCTCTGGCATCTTCATGCCACCACCCCTCTTCCTGCTCTCCAGCCTGGGACAAACACATGGGAAGGAAATTGGAGGGAGAGAAACCAATGAAAGGCAATAAGCTTGAAACCATGCAGATCGCAGCCAGCCAAGCACGCCAAAAAGGGGTGAAGATGAAAACGCAACTCACGAAGGGGCGAGCAACTCACGAGGGGGCGAGCTTGCCGAGGCAGAGCAGGTACTCCCCGGTCTCCTCGTCAAACACATTGCCCGTGATCTCAATGCGGTAACCGCAGTCGGGTGTGCCCGGTAACCCGCGCTTCATCAGCCGCTCGAGGTCCCTGTGGTGCAGCTCCCTGCCGTTCACGTACACGCGGGTGGAGCCTCCTGCGCAGGATTGGGGCATCACTACCCCGAAGTCAATGCCAGGCTGCCACAGGGGGAATGTGGGGGGAACGGAAGAGCGAGGAGGGGGGATGCGGGGGGAAGTGGGGGTGGAGGGGGAGAGGGATGGTGGGAGGGAAGGGGTTAACCGCAGTGATGTATGCTCGAGGTCCCTGTGGTGCAGCTCCCTGCCATTCACGTACACGCGGGTTGACCCGCCCGCGCAGCATTGTGGCATCACCACCCCGAAGTCGATTCCAGGCTGGCGAGAGGAGGGGGGAAGGGAGGTGGGGGAAGGAGAGGGTGTTCGAGGTCCCTGTGGTGCAGCTTCCTGCCGTTTACATACACTCGAGTTGACCCGCCCACACGTAGTTAGTCGATTTTTGAGTCGACTCAAAAATCGAGCTTCCTGCCGTTTGCATACACTCGGGTTGACCCGCCCACACACAACTGTGGCATCGGCACACCGGGGGGGGAAACGAGACAAAGCCCGGCTGGCTGGAGCGAGACAGGGGGGGTTAGGGGGAGAAGGGGAAGGAAAAGCGGGGTGAGGGAAACGAGGGTAAATAACCATGAAAGGAGCTCAGGAAAGGGATTTGGGGGAGGGTAGGAAAGATCAGGATGAGAAGTTGAGTGTCATGGAATGAGGAGAGGAAAAGGTGAAGGCGGGAGGGAGGTGTGTGTGATGAATGAGAGGCAGCAATGTAGCAATGAGACGCACTAAACTAGCACTGAGAAGTACGGAAGGGAGTGAGTGAACATGCTGCCTGCCAGCTCAGCACTAGCAGGATGATTTACCCAGTATGCTGCAATGCCAGCTCAGCACTTACCGGGATGATGCCGAGGCACGGCCCACCCATCTCACCCCAGAAGCCTGCCACGTCATCATACCTGCCAGGCAAATGGGGGGTAGAATATTGTCACACCATTACTACGGGGGCTAAACCACCGTTACTATGCCAGACCAGAGGGCAAAGATTCTCAGTCCACTCATGCTGTTCCATGTGCCATGCATCATGTTGCATGCCCCAGATATGATACCCCAGCTTCATGCCATCTTGCTTGCTCTCACCAGTAGTTACCAGGGTGAATGGGTCCTGCCCGCTGCTCTGCCACAGCCACATATTCATTGGGCAGTGCCTGCCCATTCACCACCTATACATACCCCCGTGTACCATGGGCCATCATGCCATGCATGCACCATGCACCACACACAACAATCGACAGACACACACACACCACACAGCTCTCACCAGTATTTGCCAGGGTGAATGGGTCCCGCCCTCTGCTCTGCTACAGCCACATATTCATCTGGCAGCGCATGCCCATTCACCATCACCATTACCCCTGCACACCATGAGTCGGCATGCCATGCATGCACCATACACCGTGCACCAGCCACCTTTCTTGATACTCCACCTTCATGCTTTCTTGCATTATCAACACAACACGATCAACTCACCAGTAGTTGCCGGAGTGAATGGGACCCGCCCTTTGCTCTGCCACAGCCAAGTATTCATCTGGCAGCGTCTGCCCATTCACCATCACCTGCCGGCTATACATACCCCCATGCACCATGCACCATGCGTGCACCATACATGAATTTCCACCTGCTCTCACCAGTAGTTGCCAGGGTGAATGGGGCCCGCCCTCTGCTCTGCCACAGCCACATATTCATCCGGCAATGCTTGCCCATTCACCATCACCTGCCGGCTATACATCATCCCATCCTCCTCCCCCATTCCTCCTCCCCCCATGCCTCCCCCCATGCCTCCCCCCATGTTCCCCCCCATGTGTCCGCCCATGTTTCCGCCCATGCTTCCCCCCATGCTTCCGCCCATGCTTCCCCCCGGCCCCCCGCCCATCCCCTGCTGCTGCTGGTTGTGTCCATAAGACGGCGCAGCCATTTCCCCCCCTTCCGCTCCCCCCTGCCTGCCCATCCCCCCCGGCCCCCTCCTCCCCATCACCCCTCCGCCTCTTCCTGCCCCCATCCTCCCCCCGCCTCTCCCCCTTCCCCCAGGCCCTCTTCCCCCCACTGCTCCTCCCCCTTGCCCGCCCATTCCGCCCGCCATCCCCCCGCCGCCCCCTTCCGCCATATAATCATCAGACTCCCTGGAAAGCGAGCGCACGTGGTGGGGGGCGGGGGGCCTCCCCCTCCGCCTGCCCCCATGCCTGGGCGGAACCCTCCCCCTCCCCCTGCGCCCCCCCCCTCCGCTCATGCTCGCATTACCATCACTGTCATATCCGGTTCCCCCCGCCCCCCTCTGCTGCTGGAGCGGGGAGGGGGAGGGGAAGCGTCCGCTTCCCCCGCCGCCCTGCAGCTGCTGACTGGGATGCTGCTGAGCTGACGGCTGAGGTGGCGGCGGCTGCTGACTTGGCGGCAGCTGGTTGGCGAAACGCGGGTCGGCAGGGTTGACTTGGAAGCGAGAGACTCGCAGGCACTTGCCGCAGCGCAGCTTCTGCACGCCCTTCTTGGCCGGGGGGAGCTGAAGCGGCACTTCAAGTAGCTGGGAGCAGCGCTGGCACTGCGAATGAAATGAGGGAGGGGAGTGGGGGGAAAGGTAGACGGAGGCGATGCTGAGAATGTGGCACTTGTTGGCACTCGCAGGCACTTGCAGCATCGCAGCTTCTGCACGCCTTTCTTGGCTGGGGGGAGCTGTAACGGCACTTCAAGTAGCTGGGAGCAGCGCTGGCACTGCAGGGGGAGGAGAAAGGGTGGGGGGGGGGGGAGGGGGAGGGGAGACAGGAGTTGACGTGGAAGCGTGAGACTTGCAGGCACTCGCAGGACTGGGAGGGGAGACAGGCAAATTACCGCAGCACAGCTTCTGCACGCCTTTCTTAGCCGGGGGGAGCTGTAAAGGCACTTCCAACAGCTGGGAGCAGCGCTGGCACTGCGAATGCAAGGGGACGGGAGGAAGGGGGAGAGGGACATGGGGGAGCGTGGGGAGCAGCATACCTGCACCACTTGCTTCGCGCGAGGCGGGGGCAGCATGGGCAGTATTGGGTGGGGGGTGAGGGGTATTAAGATTGGGAGGGATGCAATGGGAACGCACATACCTGCACGACTTGCGGCGCACTGGGCGGGGGCAGCATGGGCAGCGCGGCCGCCTCCTCCTGCTGCTGCTGCGCCTGCATGTGCTGCAGGCGCCGCGTGAAGTTCGTGTCCGACGCATCAGACATATTCCCCGCGCCCGCCCCGTAATACTCGTCCTCCGCCCCCTGCTGCCCCTGCCCCTGCCCCTGTCCCTGCGCTTGCCCCTGCGCCTGCGCCTGCTGCTGCTGCATCATCTGTTGCTGCCCCCCTCCCCCCATCTTCCGCCCAGGCCCCATACCCGACCCACTTCCGCCTCCCCCCATCATCCGCCCGGAATTACCCCCCTGCGCGCCCCCCCACTGCTGCTGCTGACGTGGCGTAGGCTGAAACTGCTGATCTTGGCCGTAATGCTGCTGCGGGTCCTGACCGTACATCCCGTCTTGATAACCCTCCGCCTCCCCCCCGCCGTACCCCATTCCGCCTTGAGGGGAGTACATGTTACCATCTCCCCCCGGATACTGCCCCCCGCCTCCGCGGAACGGGCTCCCGGACCGATCGTACCCCCCTTGCGGGTTTGGCGCAGCGCCCCCCGCCCTGCCTCCCCTACCCCCTCCCCCACCACCCATCATCTGGCCTCCGCCGTACCCGCCGCCATCGTCGCCGCCGAACCCGCCGCCGCCGTAGCCCGTGGGCGTTTGCGCCGCGCTGCTGCGCTTAAGCGCGGATTTCAGCAGCGGCTGTTGCGGCAGCGCCTGCTGCATTCCCTGCATGCTCATCGAATCGTCCCCGCCCGCACCCGCGCCCATCGGGGACCGCGATCGGCTTGCGCCGCTTGCGGACTTGCGCATCCCGCTTTGCGCGGGGCTTCCGCTTCTGCCCGCCGCGCCTGCCCCGCGTCCCCCGGCCGCCCGTCTGCGCGCATCGACTTGCGTCAGCGATCGCCCCAGCTGCTCCTCCCCGCTCCCATCTCCCCCCCCCCCCCCCCCTCCCCCCATTCCTCCCCGTTCCCCCCCGTGTTGCGGAAAACCTGCCGCGGGTCTCCCCCGCGGCTTGCTCCCCATAGTCATCGACCGCCCGAGATCCGATTCCGTCGGATCCTCGTCATCGTCCGGATGCGCCTGTTGCGGCGGCGCTCTCTGCTGACGTGGCTGCGCGGCGCGGACATTCTGCTGCTTCCCCGGGGCCTTACCAACCATGGAGAGTGTTCGATTAAATCGCGGCGCGGCGGCGGGTTCCATGTCATCGTCGTCGTTCATCTTAGATTGCGATGGACGGTGGATCATGGAGTTGATGCGATTAAATTGCTTCTCCTGCCCGCCCTTGCTCGGTCCATCGCCGCGAAGTTTGGTAACCGTTGTTCGTTCGCCCGGTGCTTTTTTGCGAACGACGGGGCGATCCTCGGATGAGTCTTTTAACGGGACGGTTCGCGTCGAGCCTTCGCGCGCCCGGCGCTGCGGGGCGGGGCCCCGCTCCATCTCCACCGGCTTTTAGCTAAAAGTCTAAACTTAGTCAGTGACTAGCCATGAAAACCCTAATCGATAACCTAGGGTGTCACCCAGTCCCTAACAAACCGAAATGTAGGCAAGATCTGGGGGAAAACACAATGAGTTCAACAACTAAGCCTGCCACAAAACACGGTAGCACAACATGGCTACATGGTAGTCGTCATGTCCGTCACTTGATTAGTAACTGATGAGTATCGCAAGCAAGGCGGAACAACGACACTGGAGAGTGGGGCAAAGGTTGAAATAAGTTAGAGCAAGGGAAGCGGGTGTGGTGGAGGAAAGGTGTGGGTGGAGGAACAGAGGCGACCTCAAGCCAGTACACTTTTGGCGGCAAGAGTCAGGTGCTGATTTGATGATGAAATACGGAGGCAGGCAAGAGGAGAAATCGAGGGAGGATTGATTGGGCGGTCGACAATATCAATGCTGCTTTGGTAAGTGCGGTGGAGGGGGGTCTTGTTTCGGTGATTCGGGGTGGAGACCGGACAATTGAGTGCCCCTAAGGTTGGCACAAATTGTAAGCATTGCACTTAGCCAAAAGGTGCGGTTGATAGGCCCGTCCTTGCAGTTGGTGGGGGCTCGCTAGGGTCATAGCGCGTTGGCGTTATAACAGTTTGGTGATACAAAGATTTGAGAGCAACCATGTGGTCCTCCTATGATAAATTCAAGAAATGGCTTCATAGGATATTGCACTATATACCTTCTAGTAATGAATTATTATCGTTGCTATGGCTAAAGACGGTACCATGTACATATGGTTGATCTTGTACCGAGTATCACAGTGTGATTTACATCCATGCAGAAATTGTGTGGACGATAACGTTATCAACACGGTTTTGTGGGATTAGTGTAGGTGTGATGGGGTGATATGAGATAACGTCGATGCTGTCCATTTCACGCACACACCCCAAACCCCCAACATCAGGCATGGAATGCACGATGCCTGGCCCTGCGTCGTCGAGGCGTTACTCGTGGGTTGTCTGGCCCCCATCCCAACCAATCAGAGGAGCCATTCGGGCATCACCCCAGCGCAAGCTGCCCGATTACGCCACACGGTGGGTCAACCTGAGACGGGGATGAGACCTTGGTCCGGTCCGTGCCTGTCAGCACACCCACACACCTGCTTTCCCTCTTCACACCCAAACCAAACCCGAGCCTGCGGACCAAGAGATTGCTGGCCCGACATTCCCTGAGACCGATTTGGGGGGGATAACCGAGCCAGCTGCAAGGAAATGAAGAAATTAGGGCGACGTCAAGTTATACATTTCTCATGGGTTTACAGTTCTTGTATCGTGGTTCAGGACGTTCCAAGACGGTGGAAAGCGGTTCTCAACCTTTACCGCTCTGCACCGTGTTGAAACAAAGTCAACCGCAGTGGGCGTACAAAAGGTTGTACAACCTGACGTCAGAGGTTCATACGAGCAGGAACAGTACGAGCCACACACCTCCCCTCTCTTCTGCTCCCCCGCCTTCCCAGCCAGAACAACTCCCTAGGCCCTCGCGGGTGTACAGTTCTACTTGCCTCTCTATCCGCCTTTACCAGAGCTCACTGCTTTGCCTCTCTTCTTCGCAAGCAAGGCTGTCACTCCCTTGAGGACAGCACAATAACGGAAGGTGACATAACGTGACGTAACTGACTGCCATTACCACGGGCAATATCGGCGTGCTTAGTGTCGCTACAACAGATTGGTTGTCGTCGGTGCTCTGGCAAGAAGCAACTTATCGACGCAGCCATTGATAGAGATACGATCGTCATCAGTTATCATGGATGATCCGCCATGATTTTAGAAGTATCTTTCGCCAATTGTTTGACCCGCCGCCCGCCAGACGTTTTGGGAGTTTTTTGAATATCTAAACGCGATCATGGCTGTCTAGACCCCACCTTCTCGTCATCGCTTCATCTCGTATTTAGGGCAGGGAGTGTTTAATTCCGAATAGTCTATAACGGAACAGCCTGTAAAGGCTTACATGGCATCGCATTTATGGTTGCGGAGAAGTAGAATAAGATCAAAGGTAGCATCAAGACAACGATCATGCGGTTCAACGGCTCAGATATGTTGTCAGACGATGCCCTGCTGCAGCAGTCTCAGTCGCTCGTTCACACACCGATGGAGCAACAGCAGCAACAGAAGGAGCAGTAGCAGCAGCAGCTGCTCGGCACTGATCATTGTTCTTCTAGCCTTCGCACACGTGGCAGCTGGAGGACGACCACATGGCACTTCCGATTCGATAGAAGCATTCCCGCTGCGCGCTCAAGTCGTTGGAGGAAATTGTACGTCCTGCAGTGTGCCTGTATGCAGGAAACCTAATTGAGAGTCAGAGTGTTCGGCTGTCCAACCCTAACGACCTTGTACAGTCTGTCGCGATAGAAGAACACATTCGCTACACTTTGACACATGCCCGTGTCTCGTCCTCTGTACCCTCGAACCGCCGCGTGCTCGTCTAGTGCTATACTTTCTTTCATCGCCTTCCCTATCTCCCAGTCCTCTTTACCGTTTCTCCCCATTCTCCGATCCATATTCCCCGTCCCCTATTCCCAATTCCGGTTCCTCTCGTCTCCCCGCTTGCCTGTCCAACCTCGTCTCGTTCCTCTTCTCACTGTTGACGCGTCTGCACCCGCGTCTGCACCCCTCCCACCCCCACCCCCCTCACCTCTCCCCCCTCCCTTTCCCCCCTCCTCCCCTCCCCCTCCTTCACCCCTCCCCTTCCTGTACGTGCCTCCGCATCGACAGGGCATCGACGGCTGTCATCGGCAACAGCAGAATCAGGCAGCGATCCGATAGCCGATGCTATCGCCTCCTCCTCCCCCACCTCCTCGTCGCTCTCATTATCATCTTTATCATCCGCCGCAGTCTCGCGCGCGGGGTTCGGGAGAGGAGGGGGTGCAGGGGGGGGTGCAGGTCCGGAGGCGCCGTACGTGTATATGTCGGCTTGCGTAGCTCTCCCGCCCTGCAATGGAACCACGTACCCCAACCCTTACGTGTATAAGGCGTCCAGCGAGTGCGCGTGCTGCCCGCCCGTTATTGTCACGCTCGAACTCTCTGCGCCGTCCGATCAGCTCGGCAATCCGCGAATCACGGCGTCCGTTGCGGACTCGCTCGATTCTCATGTCGAATCCTTGCTAGGGCTCTCCAGCGGTCAGGTATTTCCTCTTTAGCCAATTCTGTCTAGCGCTCGTCTAATACCATCTCGCTCCTTGTGCTTCGCGATGATCGTTGAAATGTCTCAAGTTGCATCTCCCCTCGCTCACCCTCTCTTTCTCTCTGCCAGGTGACCCTCTTTAGCGTGACCAGCACCGACACCTCTGACACGACCACGTTCCTCGTGTTCCGCAATGACACGCTGGCGTGGAGCGGCGTTGACGTGGCAGAGATGGTCAACCGTCTGCGCAACGACTCCGCCCTTGCCGCCCCTGAGTTCGCCTCCGCTGCGCTTATGAGTGCTTCGGCCGGCACGCCCTCTAACGTCCGCACCGCTCCCAGCATGTGTGAGTGATGGGGGAGTTGCCTCTTGATAGATGAATTGTGTTGAGACGTCTGGTGGAAACGACTCCGCCCTTGCCACCCCTGAGTTCGCCTCCGCTGCTCTCTTGACTGCTTCAGCTGGCACGCCCTCTAACGTCCGCACCGCTCCCAGCATGTGTG